ACAAATCGGAAGAGTAGCTATTTACAAGTTCCAGCTGCCTGTAACTGAGACCCTAATATAAGCTGACACTGTGTGGGGTTATTTTCTTCACGCTTAGGTCCCCCATATGTCCCGAAATCATTGGGCCCACTTAACACAGGTGGAAACTGAGGATAAAGAGGAAATGACAATTCAGATGACACACTAAGTAGCTGGTAAGTGACATTCCAAGCCTGTTTTGTTTGATTATTTGATTGGCAAAGAAAAACAAACCTGAGAAATCAAATGCAGATCTCCAGGGATGAGACTTTGCTCCCATTTCTCACCCTCCTTTAACTTGCACTTTCATGATGGGACATAGAAATGATGAAAGAGACAGAAACATTCTGCGGATTCTGTGGCAGGATTGAGGAAGGGAACACAGGGCATTTTTCTCTCCAAAAAGACTGCTGACAGAGAAAACTGGCACTTGGGACTTGAATGTCTCCATGGGCTCTGCCCACCCGAAGGGCTGTGGGACTTTGGTCCAAGTCCAGACTTGAACTGTCTGAGATGCAAACTCCTTTTTAGTGAAGTAGGTCTGTGATGCCCACTCCCAGGATGGCAGAAGGGTGAACAGCATAAGGCAAGGTCCTCGTTTAGTGTCAGGCACCTTAGACATGCCAAAGAAGATCAAGTTTACTTCATGTCTTCAACATGAAGTATCCTCAGTCCACAAAGCCAAGGCTGAGCTCTTTGGGAAAGGTTGTCTAATACTGAGAGGGAACTCTGCTTATGCATTTACTATGTACAAGTCCCTTGTAAGCACTTCCACATACAAGCTCATCTAAATTCACACCACCTATGAGATAGGTGCCCATGGCAAACTTGTGGATGCTGCAGCCTAGAAAAATCTGCTGGTTTATCCCAGGTCACACAGCTAGTTAAGGGCAAAGGTGGATTCACACTTAGGTAACCTTGGCCACTAGAACTGAGCTCTAACCATTGCAATATCTGAGGTCCCAGATGGACTATAAATGAAAAGTGAGCCATATTAATACACAAACTCCTTAAAACCTAGCCCCATTCTTTTTGAGGGGTTGAGGGAGAAGTAGGAAGTGTGGGGCGGGGCTACAGAAGGGAGGGAAAAAAGACTCTAGAGAGTAACCAGCAAACTTAATCCATTCCAACATTTAGAACAAAAGAAACAATGCTGGCAAGCTGAGGTGCTGGATAGGATTCAGGTAAATCCCTTTCTCGTTCTGAGTAGGAATTCCAATCCCTGAAGGAAAGGGAGTAGCGACGGGTGGGAGGAGGGCAACACTTGTGGGGTCCACACTTCACTTATCTAACAGGTCAGGAGAAACTTTAACAAGATTAACTGCTGCTCAGGGCCTCTGCTCCAAGGAGAAAATTGAGGCTATTGTTTTCTTTCTCTTTCTTCCAGATGGAGGGGTGTGGGGGGCACAGTTGGGGATGAGGGGCAGGGGTCTGGATCTGGCCTAGTGTGGTACAAAAGCAACGGGTTGTGTCACAAGTAGCTCCCCCCACATCTTGAAAGGGAGCTCATATTGCCACACGGGAGGGCTGGTGCCTGAGTGGTGGTCTTTGTGGGGCTAGAGGTGATGGCATTTATGACTGGTCCTCCCAGGGGAGTAGGGGGCAAGGTCTGGAAGTGGAGATGCCAGGGATTAATTTCTACTTCCTTCCACCCAGGACTGCAGTCATCCCACAAACCCCACCCCTCTCTATGTCTCTTTCCCCCCTTTTTGGTCAAAAGGATAACTGGCGTGAGCCGCCCCAGTAGACTCTTTTCCTCACAGTAGTAGCCTGCAAAGATTCTTCAGTCCCAAAGACATATTCATTGCTGTTGGGGGCTCTCGGGGGAATCCTGCATACAGACACTTTCTAACTTCAGCTTTGTTTTGGCCTGTATAAGCCTTTCCTTCTTTATTTATTAATATACTAATATTTTCTGTTTCCCTTTCAGAAAAATAAGAGGCATGTTTTCTGAGTTCCAAAAGCACCCCCCCCCCATGCCTGTCTGAACCCATGTCAGTGGAGTTTGAACTAGGGTAGAAATAGCATCCTAGGCGGGCAGAACTGAACACCCACCTACCAGGAGCGTCAGGGCCTGCCTCTGCCAGACGACAAACCCGGTTAACAGCACCGTAAAATTAGACCTTTACAAAACCCAATTGAATTCGGCAGCAAAGAATGATGTAAGGAAGCCTGGCCTGACAGCGAGGCGAGGCAGCAACCCTCCGCCTGAAATAGCAGTGCAGTCCCTGCTGAGCCATGGCTGCTCTCAAGATAGGCAGGCAACCAGGGATTCCTGCGAAGGTGGTGACGCCCAGCCGGAGAAAGGCAGGGGACGGCAGGCAGCGACCTGGGCAGCCAAGGTCACCGCTGGAGGATGCCCCTGGGCACCCACCCGGACCGCCTCTCCCAGCCCTAACTTCCGCCCAGGGGGGAGCTGAAAAAGTACTTCTGCAAAGAACCTCTGTTTGCTTTTTAATTCAAGGAGAAGCAGGTTCTTTTCAGTCCAACAGTCTGTACCGTGTGGAGGATACTGCAGAATGAGTCTTTTCTGGACCGCGGCCAGGTGTTTACACACCGCCAAATCTGGCTCCGACTCAACTAGGGGAGGGGGAGAAATCCACCAGAATCCTCAGGAGAAAAGCTCCTGGCTTTCTGGTGCTACACGACAGCCGTGCCTTTTCTTTTCTTTTTTTTTTTCCTTTTTAGAGGAATGTTATTTCTACACAATAAATGGAACAGGCATTTTATACAAGCAATAATAACCTAACGTTCCCCCATCCAATGAAAGTATTTTACTGTAACAATCTTTGTGTGAGTGAATAACTGCTCAGGAGAACGATTTGAGGAGAGACCCTTGTCTGAGTTACAGACACTTATAAAGCAGTCTCCGTGGAATCCCGGACAGATGCATTCACACCCTTTTCACTGATGATACCTGTATACCCTCTTAAGAGGGGAAACCTTCCAAATCTGATGCTGATAGGACAGGTAAAGACTAGGAAAAGCCAGGCTTACTCGTTTTTTTTTTTAACCTCCACACATCAGACAAAGCTTTCATATGTTTAGAGAGAGAAGAAAACATACCACATGCCCTGAATTATCACCGTCATCGTCATTGTTTTGAATAACGTGTCTACTGCTCCGTATCATACCCCTCTCCGGCTCACTAGGGCTTGGGAGATAAATGTGAATGAGCTCGGTTTCCCTCTCCTTTCCGTGGAAAAGGGGAAAATAGCATGCGATGACGTCACGTGTGTGAGTCTGTGTGTGAAGTCATTCTCTTTTGGTATTTGGAAAGTGGGGGCTCTGAGAGGGTATCTCCTTGGTATAACAACACTGTGGGTCCCCCGAAATGGACTTTGAATAAATAAGATAGTCCGTGCAATGTTAAAGAAAGTCCAAGCCAAAGAAAGATAACCCTGACTGCCCGAAGAAGAGCTCGGAGCTTTCCCTTCTAAGAAAGTGTGTGGAAGGGGGCGGGATGGCTAAGCGCCTCGGTAAGTCTCCTGGCTGCAGAGAAGGGGGAAGCCCTACTCTCACTTTAAGACGTTCCAGGAGGAGGCAAGACCGTCCGTGCAGGAGGGAATCTCCCAGACTCAGAGGCAAAACTTTCCTTCTCTCCTCCAGCGCCGCCTCCCCCAAACCCGTTTTATTAAAGACATTTCCACAGATTCATGGAGAGGGGTATTGGAGCTTTTCTAAGGTTTGCAACCCACACAGTGTCCGGTTTCACTGTGGGCTTTGCTGTGGAACTGCGTAGGGCAGAGAGAGGGAGGGCGAGGAGGGAGAACTCAAATTCATTACGGGCTCATAAAAGTCTCAAATGAGAAAAGCGCCTCATTTCGCAGCTGAGCCTGGGGAAGGCTGGCGGGGTGTGCGCTCGGAAGGTCTCGTCCCAGCCCCGAGTGACAGGCGACAGGCTTTAAAAGCAAGCACATGAGATGGCAGTGCCTGTGTGGACGAGGGGCGTGTGTGCGCGCGCGTGTGTATGTGTGTGTGTGTGTGTTTGTGTACGCGAGTGTGTGAGCGCGCGCGCGTTGGGAAGGGGGGGGGGGTCCCAGAGGCAGGATTCGACCACAGAGCAACTTTGGGACACTTTGAGGACCTCTAAATCTGGGGTTCACAACAACCTTGTCCCTGACGGCTTTCAGGGTAACGGGCCAAATGGAGAGGGTTACCTCCATTAGAAAGTCAGCAAGACCAAGGGGCCCCTAGCCTCCCTTCACACGCAGCCCAAGTGGGTCACCCTCCTCTCTCCCGAGCCCAGAGAGCGCGTCTGCACCTCCCGAGCCCGGGCTGCGCTCCCGGGGCTCCCGGATGACCGCCCCTCTCCTACGGGGGTCTGGGTCTGCCCAGAGCGCGCCCCAAGTCGCTCCCGCCTTAAGCGGCGGGCAGCTCCCAGGTCTGCGCCCGCCCATTCCGCGGATGGGGCAAAGTGAGGCTCGCGGCCGCCCCGCGCGTCCCCGCACGGACACACCCGCGAGCCCCGGCCCGCCCGCCCGCCCGCCACCCGCGCCCTGGCACTCGCGCGCTGCCTGGGCGGCGGGGACCGTGCAGCGCCCGCCCGGGGTGCCTCGCCTACCTGTAATCACAGCTGGAGACTTCTGGCCCCCTTCGGCTCTCAGCCACACTTGCAGCGTGAACGCGTCCCGGGGCAGCTCGAGGTCGGCCCGGAGGCGCAGCTGCTCTCCGCGCCCGCTGAAATAGAGCGCCCGGCTCGGCGGGCTCGGCTCCTCCACGGCGCCCCTCGCCTCCCGCTGCTGCCGCCGCCGGGGGACGCGCACGGCTTCCCAGGCACCGCCCGGAGGCGGCGAG